AGTCTGGGCCTCACCTTACGTGACTCATCAGCGGCTTGACACGCTTTACTTGCTCTCCTGAGAAACTCTCCTGTTCTCCTCTACCTCTCTGGTCACTTCTTCCTGCCCAGACCTCTAATCACTGGTGCGCCCTGGGGCTCAGCCCTCGGGCCTCTTCCTCCATCCACCCTCACTCCCTTGGTGGCAGCAGGGCACGACCTCAGCTCAAGACCAGCGCCACCAGTCTCACCACACCTGCGCTGCTGGCGCCAGCTTAGGGGCTCTGCTTGAACTCCAGGCTGGACTTTTCGCACCTGACGCTCCTCTAGTGTCCCCATCATAGTTAATGGCTACTCTGTCCTCGCAGTGGCTCAGGGCAGCAAACCCTGGTGTCACCCTTCTGGACTCTTCTTCCCACACCTCGAATGCAATCCCGAGCATCACCTCTTCTCATCACCATCATTGCACCAGTGGGTTTAAGCTGCCACCACCTCACGCCTGGCCTGCGACCGTGCCCTGGTGCATTCTCAACACCACCCCAGTGCGATGCCTCACAAATATCACCCCCCTGCCCGACCCCCTCAGATGGCCTCCCCGTCACTACAGAACCTCCCAGCCCCCACCACACCTCTTCAACGGCCACCTCCCTGCTCCTGAACTTCCTGAACTTTGCACTTGCTGTTCCCTCCATCTGGAATGCTCTTCCCCAGAGAGCCTTGTGTCGGATTCCCTCAGGTCTCTCCTCAAAGGTCACCTTCTCTTTGTCATCTTCTCTTCGAGGCCCTCCCTGACCATGCTGTTGACAACAGCACCCCCTGCCCAGCCCTGCTTCACTGTCTGCATTGGGTGTCCTGGTATTTCACCTCCTGACTTGTTTAACTGTCCGCCCACCCCACGTCCACCCCAGGCCAGGATGCCATCACTTCACCTGTCCCGTGCTTTCATGCATTGCCGTGGGCAGAGTGTGTAGACATTCTCACTTATCTGATCGTTGTCTGTCTCCCTCACTAGACTGTAAGCAGTTCCAGAAGATTAAGAGGCTTGCCTGCCCCGTCCACTCGTGCCTGGCACTTTTTAGTAGGTTTTCTGGAGCTGGAACGACAGTCACCTGTGATGAATCCTGCCGTGAGGTAGAGCTGGCTGAGGGTGCGGGAGAAGGAGCCGGCCACCATGCCCAGGCTGGCCAGCACGCCCCCCAGCATCGCGGTCACTCGGCAGCCAAAGCGCTCCACCAGGACGCTGCACAGGGGCCCTGTGGGGAGGAGACAGTCGGTAGGTGGCAGCTGAATGAGCAGGTCAAGAGGGAGGAGGGCAGCAGGGCTGGGGGGGACAGTTCCAGCAGGAACTAGCCAGGTGGCTTTAAGGGCAGGAGCCCTGGAGCCTGCAGGCCTGGGTTCCAGTCCCTACCCTGCCATGACTGGCTGTGTGGCCTGAGCAAGGCCCGATACCTCTCTTTGCCTCAGTTTCTTCCCCTACAGAGTGAGGGGTCAGACTGCGTGATGTCTGACCCTGACAAGAATCCCCAGGGGCAGACCAAGGCCCTGCACTGCACCAACCTGAGGTGGATTCCATCCAGGTAAAACAGGATTGGTTCATGACTTGAGTGGACAGCCCTCGCTTGGGGTCTGTCGGGGGTGGGGGCATCCCAGGGCGTCTCAATTGTGGTGCATACTTCTAGCCCCTGTTCTTCCTGCCCCCCATCCTCAGGAAGGCTGGCTAGAGCCCTCCCATCACCTTCCAACCTGTACAGTTGGGTGGGGCTCTGACCTCTGGAGTGTTCTGGAGAAAATCAGGCAGGGTTTGCTCTCCCCTCCCCCATTACCTTCAGCCACCACCATCTGTACCTAGAGGTTTGGCTCCATGTGGAGAGGGGTCTGTTCCCCACCACCCCCAGCTTTCTTACCTACGCACACCCCAGTGAGTAGAAAAGAGCCAACGGCTGCTCCTGGACACCTCGCAGGGGCCCCATTCACCGAGTGCCCTGCCTGGAGCACACATAGTGGAGCGTCTCCAAGTTACTCTCCCAGAGTGCGGCCAAAGGGACAAGGAAGTGTGTGTGCAGGCTGTGTGTGTGCGCACATGGTGCACGTGTGTGCTTGAGGTGGAGAGGGGGTGTGTGGTGTGAGCCAGTGTCAGTATGAGTGACAGAGGAAGTAAGCAGCCCGTCCTCAGAGATAATCAAGCAGAGGCTGGTGACCAGTTATCTCTGCCTCTGTATAGGGAGAGGTGAGGCTCTGACCCATACATCTCCCCCATTCCTGAGACATTCACCTGGGGAAGGAAGGTGACATTGGAGAAAGCCCTGAGTCATGCAGTGGGGCGTAGGGGCTGGGACGTGGGCCAGCGGCATAACTGAGGGTAGTGGGGTGCCCAAGGAGACAGGGTGTTTCCCCTGTGGGGCGTTGCTTCTGCTGAGAACTTGCTGTGCAACCTCGGCCGTGCACTTTGTGTTTGCCTGCTTTTACTGTGGGGGCAGGGGAGCTGGAAAGGATCGATGATTCATTCAAGTTTAAAATGTCTACAATACTCTGAATGAGCATGGGCTCAAGATCATGCACATGAGACAGAGACATGGACAGACAGACATGCCCGCAAGGCATGAGCCCAAAGCTGGCTGGGGGTGGGGTCCTCACCGGATGCCTGGTTCTCAGCCCCTGGCCCGGGCCCCTCTCTGCCTGTGTGAGAAGGAACGCTCTGAGGCTCCCAGTCCCTGCCACAACTTTGCAGGCCAAAAGGCCACGCGGTCTGGGCCAGGGCTGGCCTTTCCCCTTCCTCTGAGCCCAAGCCCCAGGAGGCTAAGGTTCATCCAGGACCATGGCAATCTCCCTCAGTCTGACCTCCCTCTCGATTTGAGGAAAGGACCTGGAATAACAGGTGGGCTGCTGGCGGCAGCTGGAGGGAGGGGCAAGGAGGGGCAAGGAGGTCGCCAGGGAGATGGGGTCATCTGAAGCCAGCAAACACAGGCGTGGGGAGAGCCCTGTGGGCCGCTGGGTGGGGCTTCCGCTGCCCAGGTCCCCTGAGGTCGCTGTGTGCAGTCTCCCTGGGAGCTCCCAGGAGCCGGGCAGGTCCCTGCGTCCAGGACTACTGTGGAGAAGCCTCCTGAGCAGCTCCTGCCCTACCCCTGTCACTGGGGTCAGGGTTAGGTGGTCCCATTCCTGGAGAAGCCAGCCAGGGAACAGGGGCCTCTGAGGTGAGTGGTGTGAGGAGAGGGGCAGAGAGGGACTGCCCTGCCTCCATCACCCCAGCCTTGACAACCTCCCTCTGCAGGGAGCCCCAGGCAGAGATGGGGCTCTTGCCTTGCCCCCTCTTATTCCTGGTATCTTCCTCATGTCCCCTTTCTCATCCTGAAGCCCCCCATGAGGGTCTCCAAAATACTAATAATTCAGCTGCATATATCTCCTGACGCCCAGCACCTCCTGGCACCTACTGGTCTTCCCATCCCATGTGGGAGATGGGCAGGATGCTGGAGGAAGAAACTGAAGTTCAGAGAGATCGCCCAGCTGGAAAACAGTAGCGTCTGGGTGTGCTGGCCCCAACGCTGGCTCCTCCCAGTCTGGCGATGCCCACCTCCGTCCGTCCCCTGGATCAATCCCACCACCTGGCTTTGTATCTTAGGCCCCTTCCCACTCTCTCCCCTGCCCAGCCCAGCCTCCTGGGGACACAGCCCCACCCAGCTGAACTCCAGCCAGGGGGCCCCACTGAAATCAGGTGCAATATTAGGAATTCACGCAGGGGGCAAAGACTGTGGCCTCAGAGAGAGGGAACCAGGAGGCCAGGGAGGTGTGGCTTTCTCCGCCACCCCAGGCCCTCTTTCACCCCTCCCTCGGCCCTGCCCAGCTGCTCACCGCCAGCGTGAAGCACAGCTATCTGCACGGAGGGGAACCAGGAGGTCTCGCTGTTGCTGGCCTGGAAGTCATGCTGCAGTTCCGTGAAGAAGACGCCAATGCATGTGGGGAAGCCCAGGGTGAGGCCCTGGGTCACCACTGCGGCCAGCAGTACCACCCAGGCCCAGCCGCCGTCTGCCCGCTCCAAGGCCTGGGGCATCCTGTGCTACCGACCACAGCCTCACCGCAGCCTCACTGCCACTGTGACTGCTGCCTGGGGAGGGGACAGAATAGAGCCCGGTTGTTGGCAGGCCACCAGTCTTCCCCGGCCTACCTGCCTCCTTCCTGGGTGGCTGAGACCATCCCTTCCTCATGCCCCAGCACCAGGTGTCACAGAGGAGCACCACCCCTGGGAGGTGGCCAGAGGCCCACGCGTTGCTTTCGGCATCTCCTTTCACCCACTTCCCAGAGCCAGCCTGGCAGGAAATGGTGGGAAGGACAGGAGGTGCAGGGCAGGGCAGGAGGCAGTCGGTGGCACAAGGCAAGGGGGTGGGATTCTTTCCAGTTGTGACATCACTTGCCATCAGCAGGTGGGTCTCCTCACCTACTCAATAACTGCTTGTAGCACAGAGCAGACGGGCCAGTGTGGTCCCAGCGCCTCCAAAGGCACACACGATACATTTCAAACACTCACGACCAGCTTCCTGCACACCAACAGACGTTCGCAATGGCTGATGAACAGCAGAGTTCGCTGTCGGTGCTGCTGTGAAGGCCCGGGTGAGCAAGCCGGCGCTGGGTGCCTCCAGCAGTGTACACAAAACAGCTCCACAAGCCGGCGCCTGACCAGCAGCTTTGAGAAGGCACGGTCTCACCTGAAGGACCTTTGAAATCACGCTGCAGCGCGGCTTTCACAAGGAGCTCAAGGCCAAGAGTCAAGTTCCACAACCATGCTGAATAAAGATCTACCACCCGCAAGGGCTTCTCCACCACACAGACACACACACAAAGGCACACAGACACACATGCATACACAGTCACACGTGGACACGCAGACCACAGAGCACACACATGGACAAGCCCAGAGACAGATACACACACAGGGAGACACAGATCCACACAGGCGCACGGACTCACATGAAGACACTCACATAGACACACACACAGCAAAGTCCAGAGACACGTACCACATAGACATACAGACACTCATGCAAACACGCATAACAGATACATACAGTCACACACCATGCAGGCATTCAGACTCATACACACACAGGCCCACAAACACACAGTCGCATACTGTGCTCACACACACTCCCGCGCCCCTCTGGCTCAGAAAGGTGCAGCCAGTCCTGTCTCGGTTCAGTGCCACTGCCCAGGCCACGGCCCCTCATTACAGAAGCTGCCATAACCAGGCCTCCAAAGTCCCAGGGCCCCCTCCCCAAATTCAGAGCCCTTTTCCAATCCCCCCCAACCCTCTCATTCTGTCTCCCGCTCCCTGGTCCCCCTACAAGCCCTCACCCCAGTCGGGCTCCAGGCTGCGGTAGGCGGTGGGAGGGAGCAGCCTTCACCTTCAGCGCAGTTAAGCCAACTGATCCCAGCGCTGCTGTTCCTACAGCATCCCTCCCTTTCGCCCCTGGTCCTGAGAAGGTCCAGGGAAACTCTGGAAACTCCCAGAAATATGAACCCCCTCTTCCTGCCAAGCCCGGCACCCCACCCTTCCCCCAGGGCTAGGAGTTTTAAAAGAGCACCCAAGCTGGATCCACCCTGAACTGCCTCCTCAGGGCCTCCCCCTCCCTCCCAGGGAAGCCCAGGAGCCCTGCCAAGGTGGGCGTCCCATTTGTCACAACCTCAGTTGTGTGTGACCCTACGTGCAGGGCAGGGAGCACCTCCTGCCCACTGCATGGGACCTCTAGCACCCTGATTCTCAGTCTGCTGGGGCAATACCTCAGACATGGGCTTCTCCAGCAAACTGGCTCCGCCTCTTCCAGGATTTCTGTTCCCTCAGCAAATGCAAAGGCCACAGGTGCCATTTGATTCTCTCAGCACTGCCCTGAATGTCAGGCTTCCACTCCCTTCTCCACAGCTGGCCCCTCCTCCCGGCCCTCCCACCTGCCACCTTCCCCTCTCTGTCTCAGAAGGGCCCACCAGCCTCCCTGCTCCCTCCTCTCCTTCCCCAAGCCCTGTCCCCCTGGCCCGTCTGGTCCCCTCTTGTTCTTCCTCATCCTGCCCCTCTGTGGAGAAGCATCCACTTTTCTAGGCAGTCTTTTTGGGGACTTTGCCCAGGCTCCTGTGACCTTCACTCAGTACCCCACCTTCCCAACAGAACCTTTCAGGTGGGCTGGCTCTTCTGAGCATCTCCTTTCTCCAGGTCTCTCCTGGGTCTGGGCTGCAGGCCAATCAGAGCCGAGGAAACCCTGTGCACCTTTGCTCTGTCTGTGCACACTGGGAGCCCTGCCTCCACGTCTCAGGACCTGGGCCTCCCTCTGGGAGCACCCCCTGCAGACTCAGCCTTCCATGAGAGGGCCATCCCCTCTCCCAGCGACTCCGGGTCACGTGCATGGTGTTTATGTCCACTTGGTCCTCTAGGCCCTCCCCCACCAAGCTGGCCCCTCCTCATGACCTGGCTGCTGTGGTTCCAAAATTCTTAGCCAGAGACATCCAACTGATCTTTCAAGATTCAGCCCTTGCAGCACCTTTACGAAGCTCCCCTGATCCCCACCCCAGGCTGAGCTAGGCCCCTTCCTGTTTTCTCTCCTTAAAGGTGCTCCACACCACACTGAAGCGGACATTCCCTTATTTATCGTCACCCTCCTACCCTCTTCTACACATGAGCCGGGACCTGCTCATACACAGCCACCCAGCCTCTGGCCACGCACAGAACAGAATATTAGTGGGACCCACCTGTGTTCCCCAGGGGGCAGACAAGCCCAGGACCAAGGGCGATCTGGCTTCCTGGCAGGCAGGTCCATTCCAGAAGACTCAGCAGGGCAAAGAGATGGGGCTGGGGCTCTGGCTTCGCCTCTGCCGCCGTAGGGAGGTGGTCTTTTCTTTGCACTGGGAACCATGAGTCACTGCCTGGTGTGTGTGGGGGCCAGGAAGGAGACAGGGCCAAAACACTTCACTCTCACTTCCTGGGACTGGGGTGAGGCTGGGCCACAGAAGCTGCCAACCTCAGCTCTCAGACACCCCCAGGCCCAGTGAGACCAACTTCACGGCCAGGTGGCATGAAGTTGATTTGTGGGCAGGGCAAAAGTTTAGATGATGGTTCCGGTCCTTCTCCCATCTCACACACCCCCCAGTCTTGTTTTTAGGGCTCCCTGTCTGATAACAGGGGCCTCGACAGGCCCTCACAATCCTTTCCCCGACCCTTGGAGCTTGCAGATGGTCACAGGGGTGAGCCGATGCTCTCATGTGGGGGTTTGGGGTTAGGGGACTGGTGTCCAGAGTGGAGGGGTGGCCTCCTCTCCCTCTTCCCTGCTCTGCTGCCATGGTAGGAGAGGCCTAGGAACCAACCCCCAGCCCTGGAAGCTGCCTAAGGATGGGCAGCCCCAGACAGGCTTTGGGGACCCCTCTGTCCCTGGATCCTGTATCAAGGAGGCTCCCCAGTCTGGAGCCCAGGATACAGTGGGCAGCAGAAGGGGTCAGCCCGGAGCTTGGGGGCTGATCCCTGTGCCTGGCCAGGAGGGGGAGGGGAGAGGTGGCTCCAGAGGTGGACGAGCTGGGGCAAGTCACCCTCCTCCTTTCTCCTGTCCCCAGTTGTGCCTCCCCCGCATTCCCCGCAGGTGCAAGGGCCAGAAGAGCACAGCCTGGAAGGGGGATGGGCTAGGCAACAGGGACTTCATGACCTCCTCTCACCCTGGCCCACTCCCTGCTGGTTTCTACTCTGCTTTCCCGCCATTCCCAGGACCCATCTCCTCTGGGTGGGGCTTCTGGGACGCCCAGGCAGCGCCCGGCCCCCCAACCCCAGGCTGTGGAGGACAACGAGCCTCTCTGGAGAGCCCCCCTCAGAGCTCAGTCAGGGGTGGGGCAACCCAGGACTGGGACAGAAAGACTTTTCCGGATCCTCACCCCCACTGAGCCCGCCACCGGCGGGAAGGGATCCGAAGGCCCACGCGGGGGGTCTGCGACTGCGCCAGCGGGGACCCAGGCGGGAGGGACGCCCTGGAAGCCGTGGGGGCCCGGGAGCCCGCTCACCGGGTCGCTCGGGCCCAGCGGAGAGGCGGCTCCACTCCCGCCGAGCGTGGCGTCCGGAGACTCGCCAAGCCCGCGGCGGGAAGGCGGGCACGGCGAGTCCAGGGGAGTGTGGGCGGGGACTGGGCCAGAGCCGCGCCCGGGGGGCGGGGACCCAACTCCCAAATCTTCCCGGGGGTCGGGGGTTAGGGGAAGGGGACGTGGCCAAGGACCCGATGCGGACGCGGCGGGGGCGTTTGCCGGTGCTTAGCACGTACTTTGCGTAGCCCAGATGCACGCTGTCCGGAGTCTCCATGCCCGGCTCCGGGTCTAGGGCCCCAGGAGTGGGCGGGAGAAAGGGTGGCAGAAGTAGGGTGGGGAAGAGGCAGAAGCCAAGGTCGAGGATCCCTTCTTTGTGGGCTTTAGCTGCCCAGGGGTCCTTCCAATGGAAGCCTAGAGCTTTGAAGGCTGCACCTGCGGTGGCCCAGACAGACCCCTCAAACCCTGGAAACATGTCTGGGGACACCCGCAGCCCTCAGAACTATAGGCCCTTTTCAAGCTTCTTCCCTACCTGGACAGCCCTTGACGTGAGTCATTTAAAATTCATTAAATTACTACAAAGTTACAAGAATCAAGACATGTGTGCCGAGCGCGGTGGCCCACGCCTGTAATCCCAGCACTTTGGGAAGCCGAGGTGGAAGGATTGCTTGAGACCAGGAGTTCAAGAACAGCGTGGACAACATAGGGAGACCCGCCCCCCACCTACAAAAATAAGGAACAAAAAAAAAATCAGCCAGAAGCGTGCAGCTACTCAGGAGCCTGAGGCAGGATGATCCATTGAGCCCAGGAGTTTGAGGCTGCGGTGAGCTATGATGTTGCTGCCAAAGAAGCCAATATGCTGAGTCAGCAGGCATTAGGGCAGAGAAAGAGTCTTGGAGTCTTTGTTCTGCATTGCAGCAGAGCGCTAAGTGGGGAGACAGAAATTCCTCAAATCTCCCTCCCCAGGAATTTGGGAGAAAGGTTTTTAAGGGTAGTTTGACAGGCAAGGGATTAGGCCATTAGGTTCGTTAATTGGGGCAAAATTATAGGGATGTAGAAATCATCTTGTGTTGTTTCAGTCCCTGGGGTCACAATTCCAGTTGATTCGGTTTCTTGGTATGGGCCGCTGATCTGGGTGGGTCAGTCCATCCACTGGAATGTGGGGCCTGGAAGATATCTTAAAAACTACCTTTAGGTTTGGAAAGGGTGATGTTATCTATGGGGAAAGTTAAGAATCTTTATTGACTCCTGCTTTGAGGAGAAGTTAAGAATGATGGCCGAGCACGATGGCTCCCGCCTCTAATCCTAGCACGCTGGGAGGCCAAGGCAGGTGGATTGCTCAAGGTCAGGAGTTCCGAGACCAGCCTGAGCAAGAGCGAGACGCCGTCTCTACTAAAAAATAGAAAGAAATGATCTGGACAACTAAAAAAATATATATATAGAAAAAATTAGCTGGGCATGGTG